CCCCAAAACCCCAAAACCCCAAAACCCCACATAAAGCAGCTCAGCTTGAAATAGTTGTAATAATATATAAGTTCATGAATAACAATATTCTTATGGAAGAAATGTTCAGACAAGAGAGGCTTACTCAGCCTCCATTGCAAGGGCTGAACTCTCTGGTTCAGAGTCTCAGGACTGAACCCTTTCACTCAAAGTTTGTAAAGGCTCATCCAAACAATGTGCAATTTGGCAGGATAACAGAGTGAGACCAGATTTTCATGAGCACTAGAGAAGCTGAGAAGTCCTTTGCACCAAAGAGGATGATTATTCAGCTAAATGATATGTCTTTGAAGAAGATTGATAGAAATTACTATGTTGATCTAAGAAACACTGGCTTTAATCATTTGTGCTCAGCTGAGACTTCTTCAACGAACGCAGATCCCAATTTCTTTTTCCCTAGCACCTCTTCACATTCAGAGTCTTTAAATTTACCAAACTGCTCATCTCTTCAAAGTGCAAATCCTTCTCTTAAACAAAGGATGGCTGAGAGCAACAAGGCGAGTGAGTTCTGAACTTGAGGCCTCTCACAAGACGATGCATATCTGGTAAACTATCTCCTCAAGAAGAACAACATCGAGTTCATGGAAGAGCTCAAAAATTTTAAGTATGAAATAGTAGAGAAGCATACTAAAGCAAACAAGAAGAAATACTTCGAGTTCGTCTGCAAGTTTAATGGGACTTGTAATACCACTTACAGACGGAGCTGGAACTTCTTGGACCATTGCAGATCTCACTACGGCATCCGGCCTTATCAGTGTGATGAGTGAGAACACAGCTTTACTCAGAAAGGAAATTTGGTCAAACATAAGAAGACACACAGGAAATAAAAATAATTAGTTTAAAAATGTTGGTGAACCTAATGTCTTTGGAAAATATTTGCTCGTGCTCAATGCAATGACAGATAAAAGAGAAGGATACTTGCTCAATAATTAGTAGTAAATCTCCATTCTAGAGTCTAGAAATTTAGAAGCGGTGGGTATTATAATAAACATAACAGTTCACCAAGATATGTCATAGTGGGTATTTTAAATTCCTACCTTCTACAATGCTTTTATTGATAAAAGGTACTCTTCTAATCCTAGTAAGCTTAAGATAGCACTCTTTTAGCTTATATTATCCCTAATTTGAAATTTTGAGGGTTGTAGACCGAGCTGTAAACACTTAAAATTCATTAAGAAATCTGGTAAACCCATTTAAACTTAAATATAAGGACAAGCTGAGTAGGATCCTGAATTTATATCGTCTGTGACTATCACAGCCTTAAGAAGAATAAGTGATCCTTTTCATTTATAAAGCTATTAGAGGCATATTATTTGTTAATTAAGGATCCTCTAGGTAAAATAAGTTACTCAAGCCAGTTATATTTCTTTAGACTATGACTGGTGTTTTGAATAAAGTAGACTGGTTTTAGAAGTAGTGCAGCCCCAACAAGTGAGGGTTCATTAAACATTCATGTGTTTCAATTAGCTGATAGGGTGCCTGATATTATCAATAAGTTTAGGTCAACCCCAGAAGGCTAGTTTACTTTTACTTTCGGCATATTTATCCTCTTTATGAATAACATTAATAATTTTCTATGAGCTTAAGGAGCTTCCTGAATCAATTTAAAGAACTCATGGAGGCTATCCAACCCTAATATTATTACTAAGAGGTGTTGGCTGACTGTTTCTGAAAATTATGATTATATTCGTAAAAAACTCATTAAACTGCATGAGAATGTTAACATATTTTGAAAGATTTCCAAGATTTAGGGGATTTTGAAGAGACATTAGGACCTATCATGAGTTACTGGAGACTCTTTCTTTTAGATTTTTAACTGAGTGCAGAAGCAAATGGTTAATAAGTTAGTGAAATTTAGCATATTATAAAGGTCTTCTTCCTCGGTACAGTAAATGAACTTGGTTAAGTTTTGGCATATTAATAGCTGTTTTGGCTCGCTTACTGGGGGGTTAAAATCTGCAATTTAATTAGAGAGATAAGTATACAGTTTTAAAGCGAAAATTGAGCATTATTCATATTGGTGCTAGTTTGTTTTATTTTTAGAGATTTATAAATATGTGGTGGGCTCTGTTATACTTTTATCGTCAAATAGTGTTCTCTAATCGCAAACTTGTTTTTTACTTTTAATTTTTGAGCCTCATAACTTCTAAAATTCGAAGTTCATTTCTCATTAATATTCCGATTCCTATATTAAAATTCTCATAAATTTACGAATCTTCGGTTCTTGCCTAAATTCGGTTTTGATGTTTCAACCACCTACATCGATCTTGGGGTTTTGGGGTTTTGGGGTTTTGGGGTTTTGGGGTTTTGGGG